TCTAGTTCTTGTCGCCCTGTTTTGAGTGAGAATTAAAATCTCTCTCTAGTTAAATAATGTCGAATCTGCGCGTGTGTATGCATATTCCTCGCACTATGGAAAAACGGCGACACCTAGAGACACCAAATTTTAATCATACGTAATTCTCCATGCGTATCTTGAAACCCAAATCCTAAATTTATTTCATATTTTGTGTGAATTTAAACATAGGAATGTATGTCTTCTGATCCTCAATTCATAAGGAATATATAATCTCCTCTCTTCAATTCAACTGACTATGAAGTTATTCCGGAAGATCAAGGAATTAGGCCATTCGCAGCATACAGACTAAGGGATCACTATTTTGGCACCTAAACGTATATCTATGTCTCTTTCCGATTATTTTACATACTGTAAATATGTTTCATTCATGTTAGGATTTTATTTCATTTTTTTTTAATATTTTATTTTCAATTTGAGTCATAAAGCAGATTTATTTTGTATTTTCGATTTACTGGCTTTATCATGACTTCTCCCATGTTTTGGACTCTTGGGAAGGGTGCATTCTTTGATTTCTTAGCGTTTACTAACGAGATGTAGGTCTCCATCTTGGGGACTTTCACCTTATAATTCTTACGTCATGGGCACATAAGGCAACAATTTATTGAGCTTTACAAGATCGATTTATTTGGCCAGTAAGCATAGAAATATGACTGAAACTTGCTCCGAAGACAAGTGCGTGTACGCTAACGTATTCGACACTGAAAATTTGCATTACTCTTTGGCAGTATATTTAATACCTTGGTTTAATATTTTTACGAAAAATAGACATCAATTGCAAATTCTCTTAATTTTGCGCACGAGTGTATCTGCGTGAATAAACTATATCATATATTGAGGTAAAATAAAATTAAACACAAATATGAAGTGATAAATATTGCTTGAATCTACACATAACATCCTACAAATGTTAACAGTAAATTCAGATTGAGGTTACCACAGAGATCAAGTGAAATAAATGCAATTCAGAGGAAATAAAATTTAACAGAAAAATTATTCTGAAAATCATTAGAAGTGCGGGAAATGGAATTAGCTTACGTTTCATTCGTGCTGGGTAACATTTCCTTTTAATGAGGGCTAAAATTTAAGACAGATGCGGTACATCTGGTACCACCTACCGGGAGAGTTGGCAGCTATGTAGAGATAATGTTCATGTTGACTTGCATGCTTTGTGGAACAGTGAGCTAACTAAATCTGATTGTTTAGTTAAAAAAATAGCTACAATATTTATTATCTTGTCTCTGAATTTCAAAATGAAAGGTGGTGATTTTGAAATAAAAATCTTATTTCCTGTTCTTTTTCCAAGACACGTAATTTTAATATTTTAGTTTAACGATATCGTAATAATATATGCCTGAAATAATTGTCACATTTGAAAACTCTCGAATCGAATTTTTTTACAGTGGTTAACATCTGTTCTTGGGTTGTTGAGCATTAAATATTAATGAAACTCCTTTTTTTTAACATATGTTATTGATCATCTTTTTTTAAAACCTGCTGTTTTGAAAAGAGTATTTCAATACGCTTTCGGTAAAAAAATGTTAATTCATTCAAACGTTCTGAAAATAAACTCACGTAAACACTGAATAGAAGTGTTGAAGTGACACTTTGAATAAAGAGTATATATTTAATAAACATCTGAAAGTAATGGGACATTCAGTTTAATTCACTGGATATACTTTAAATTTTCATGCACTTCGGCATAAACTCAACTAACTTTTTTTTTTTACGTAGAAATGTTCAATTTTGTTCCAATTCTCCGTCAGAATAACTTTCAGAAGAAATTTCAAAGTAGCATGTTTACTTATTCTTTTCCCCAATCCACTAAATATATGTTCTAGGATTTAATCAGAATATAGAAGAGTTTCGATTACTTCAGGACAGTTGTACATGTAACTTTACAAGCAAACATTTAGGACTACTTGAATTCATTTTGCATTCCAAATTTTTTTGCAGATGCTTTTGAGTTTTCATACCGAATATTTAGAGATTAATACTGGTATACATCATTATCTATACAAAGTTCCCCATTCCAGAAACAGCACAACATCCCAAAACTTACGGTTTTAATCCCCCCGCAACAGGCAATAGATTATTGGAATTAAAGACTTCAGCGGGTTTCCCCCCATAATAATTCGTACATCGGATTCAAATACATTAAATAGTTTGCAAACACTGTTTTAATGTGATAAATATTTGTTTATCGTGGATTTTGCGAAATTGATTGATGAATTTCCTTCTTGCTAATACATTGTAGCCATCTGCTCTAATGGTTCTTTTAACAATTTCAGAGCGAACTTTCATTGAACACTGTTCTAAACCGCCGCCAAATTTTACAGCAATGGGTTTTTAAGTCTGGCTTGATTTCCACACGTTAAATCCCTTCGTTGTTCCCTTAGAATGAAGTGCATTTTGAAATTCCACGTTGTAATTCAATTTAATAATATCAAAAATAACTGAGCACTTTACACCAAAAATATTTTGAATACTTTTAGCATCTTTAAGATGACTTTAAACTAGAGGGGAAAAAATTAAATTTCTATCTGTTCATTGGTCAGCAATTTCAGATATAAAATAATATTCAAGCGCAGATTATAATTCTTATGCATTTTTATTTAAAACAAAGTTATAGACAAGAAACGTAGTCTTCGAAAAACATTTCAGCAAAACCTTCAAGTGTCCCGGAGTTGGTGGGATTATCACCTTTTGATTACTCGGAATATTTTTATATTTAGTACTTTTTAACTAGCAAGGTTTAAAATAGAGAAAAAATAACATTATAAAAAATGTTTCAATACATAATACAGGATTTGTGGAAATAAATTTCAAAAATACAATTGCCCCAAAACAAATGTGGGCCACTGTACATACAGTTAGTCACAAAAGTCTGCGTACAGACTAAATTTTAAATTAAAAAAAACACTTAAAGCATAGAAAAATGTATTTTAATCATTGCATTTTTTTTCTTCTATTAGCTAAAATTGTAAGCTTAAATAAAAAGTAAATAATATCAGTGTAATACTTTTTACATTTTTTTCAAAAATATTTTGTCAAAAAACTCAGAAATTCCCTCCAATAAGTCTGCGTACACTTTCAAAAAAAGCAAAATATAAGTTTTTTACATTACTTTGTAGGATATCCTTTATTCTTCAAAACAGCTTGCAGACATCTGGGCATTGACTGAACTAGTTTTTCAGTGTCATTCGATGTAAATTTCGCCCATTCTTCCTGCAATTTACTAATTAGCTCATTTCCCGACGTAATATTGAGTTTTCAAATTCGTTTCTCCAATTTTGCCCACAAATGTTCGATTGGATTGAGGTCTGGTGACTGTGGAGGAGTACGCAACTGTCTTGGAGTGTGATAAAGGAGATATTCCTTCACAATTTTAGCTGTATGATTCGGGTCGTTGTCTTGGTGGAAAATAAAGGTATTAGAAAGGTTTAAATTTCGGGCACTGTCTCGTAGATGTTTCTTCAGAATATCCAGATAAACATACTTATCCATGGCTTTATCAATAATTGTGAAAATTTTCAACTCCTTTCGACGACATACACCCCCATTCCATCACACCGCCAGCTCCATGTTTGACAGTTGGATTTAAATTTCTCAGGGTTCTGTTCCTGGTTTTCTCCATACAATAGGGTAGCCATTAACATTAAATATTGTAAATTTACTTTCATCTGACCAAATTACATTGTTCCAGAAGTCCTGCGAAGAGTTTAAATGTTTTGGCAATAGCAATTCTTTTCTTTCAATTTGTCTCGGAAATGTATGGCTTAGACCTAGGTTTGCGTCCATGATAATCGGCCTTTAGCAGCACTTGTACGGTTTCAGGAGAAATTTCCTTGTTGCTAGTTAAAAAAAATGTCTTTTGTAATGCTTGCAGCAAAAAGTTTAGGATTTTGTTTAATTCGTAAAAAAAATTTTCCTTCTCTCTGCGTTAGCCTCTTCGGTCTCCCACATCTTGGTTTTACAGTAAGACTACCAGTGTCAAGACAGTTTTGAATAACTCTTTGCACACTAGAAAATGGTTTTCCAATGGTTTTATCAATATAACGAAGAGTTTTACATTCATCTCTCAATTTGATAATTAGTTGTCTCGTAACTAAAGGAATTTCTTTATTGGTTGTCATTTTCGTCAAATAAAACAGAAATAACAACTTCCAATCAACGTGAAATTTGCTTCGGAAGTCAATGACCTTGAAAGTGTAACCTTCTTTGCATTCTCAAGTTTGAAGTTTAAAAGTTAGATAAGAAATCCCCCGCCTCCTTCGCGTTGTACGCAAACTTAAGTGGCCAGAAATCAAAGCCAATAATCTTTTGAAAATTAGTGTGCATAAATTATTAGATATGAAAATATTACAGTTAAATAATTTCAAAGTCCCTTATTGAAACTACATATTTAAAAAATAAAACTTTAAGAAACTACTTTTTTCGCACCTTAAAATTTGGATTTGATATTACTTTTCTTGATGTACGCAGACTTTATTGACTAACTATGTACATCTTAAAATCGACAAAATGGTTGTTAGGCGGCATGTGCAACAAAAGAAGAGAAATTCGTTATTTTTGAGCAAAAGCTTCAACTTTGAATAGTGTTCGTAAAAATTACGAAAAATTTGCTTTACAATCTTATAACAAATAGGAAGATTTTGAATATAATGGGTATACTAAGTTTACAGATATAGCGAATTATATCTACTTTTCAACGTTGTTTTTCCACTCCAGCATTCCTATGTAGAATTCTTAAGCCTGCGTATAATTTATATTTTTTTGTAAACTGGATTATAAAACTATTTTGAGTGGATAAAAAACGCCAGCACCCATTTGCAAAGAGTCGTCAGATTGCTCTGAAGTTATTGAATATATACGAAAATCTTACGTAAAATTCATTTTAATGCTAATCTGACTAATATACATTAAAAAGCATATTCAAACACAAAGGAACTACACACAAATGCATTAAAAATCTTTATTCAGAACATACAAGAAGACATTTGATTCTTTTCAATACCAGTATACGGTTCTCATTAACACAATGAACAAGAAATAAACCTAAGCTTAAAAACATACAGCACGTTTTGACTCTTCACGTATATTATACCAGGATACACATAATTTACCAAGTGAACAATAGCACTTCTGAAAAGAAGTGGATATTTACGTATAGGCCCTTTATTACACGCTGTGATGAAAATTCGAAACATTCACTCATCCAGATTTTTCCACAAAAATGAAGATGACGTAACATGATATTTTTTCAAAAATGAGGTATGTTAAATTTTGTACAGCAGTCAACATATTAAGACTTATTTATTCTTGCAACTTACTGAATTTTCCACTCAACATTATTTTCATAAAAAATGTTCATAAAATAAAAACACATTTATACCTAAAATTATAAACAAGTATGCACGTAGCTATTTGCATGGTGGGTCCTATTGTTTTGACCAACGTACGGCAAGTTAGGAACTAATTAAAAAAGTGATTTTCCAAAGACTGCCGAATTTATTTGGGCAACTTTTCACAAGAAGCTGGTGAAAAGTAAGCGCTTAGCATTAATAACTTTTCTTGTGTGGTTTACTTCCTGCTAAGCAAACCAGATAGTTTACTCGTTAATGTACTCCAGAAACCACCAATTCCATTGACAGGAGTTCCTTTATCAGACGTTTGTTGGTGTTTACTATTAAAAGCGACTAGTCCTTCCTGCAAGAGAAAAATATTTAAGTATATTATACAAAATAAGATTTATTTAAATAAATTTATGCAAAAATGGAATTTTTCACTACAGGACATACAGCCAACTAATTTTCTACGGAAATACATAATCGCCATCGTTGGATAATGCCCACCATGAAAACGGTGTTTATGTTTTTCAAAGTACAATAAACCATCTCTCACGAGTTCCGTTATCGATTTGCCTAAATTTCGCCCGTTTGTATACGAAAACATGAAAAGTATACCGCTCATTACGATCAACAATTCGGTTAACATGATCAAAGTATTAAAGAATAATTTTTTTAAACTAGAGTCAAGCCATCAAATTAAAGTCAATCGATTATAAAAACTGCCAAGTGTGAGTGAAATGTCGCCAAACAGCTCAATTTCGATTTAGAGGGCGATGATCAGAGACAACCTTCTTTAAACAGCCCCCCCCCCCCAATTTTCTTGCCCATGCCCGGGGAAGGGGTTCTTCCAAAACATCTACGATAAGCTTTTTTTTTTTTTTTTTTTTTTGTTTAAAATTTTACACTGGCATATTCTTCTCTTCCAATCAGAAATGCCTTCAGAATATTAAGATGCATATACATAAGATAATCTATGTTCATTATCAGAAATAACGTTAAGCACATAATCTATGTTAAAAATATTATGAACAGTTTATAAACATCCATTTTCCTAATTAAAATGCTAAGAAAATACCTACTTATACATTTCGAGTTGCATTCATATTAAACTTAGTTTTCACTGCTATTTTAAAGGATATTTTTCTTCACTGTTTAATGTTATCAAATCAGCCGTGGTCAAACATTGTTTCATTAAGTGACATCTATTTAAGTACATTATTGTTACGAATGCCCATTTAACACTGAGGTAAAATAGCTACCGCTATTGTGAGGATGGTTTTGGCGACTAATTTTTGCTGCCAAATTTGGTGAGAAAAAATTCGCCACACTTACCGACCATTTGGTCATATACCTATACAACTGTAAGCAAATTCGCGAAATCGAAGGTACTGCTAATTTCTCGGCGGACCGGGAGGGGGGGGGGACATTTGATAAGACCGCAGACAGCATCAGTCTAGTTTCAGACTTGAAATTCAGAGTTTAGCTCAAGAGCATTGAGAGGTTCAAGTTTACGCATTTGAAGCTTTTTATATTGGCTTGTGTTTAACATCCTCAGTAGTTTGAAGTGGTAATTACTGACTGTGCTCTGTCATACTTAAGAGGTGTACGAGTACTTTTGTGAAAAGCTACAGAACTGCGAAGTGTTATACTAGACAGATCCCCCCCCCAAAAAAAAACATGTACACTGCGAAATGCATTTATTTGAAGTTTTGCTGGAAGTGATCTTTTACAAACATACTGTGGTGGAAGCCTACATTCCATTTTGTGCTTTGTTTACTGTAATAGCTAAGCATAATAAGAAGCATGTTTAGATAAAATATTTCAACTGTGGTAAAATGTAACGATGAAATCATATTTCTTGTTACGAGTATTAAATTGCTGCATTTTAACAATGGAGAAATTTGTGTCTTCTTGACCTCTGAAGATGAATTCGGAACGAAATCACCGCTACACAATATATATACGCAGTTCAAAATCGTTAAGAAATATAGGTAGCCATCTTAGGGAAGTTTCTCAGTACTTTTTCACTAACACTGCAAACAGTTAAAATATATGGGATGCTTAAAAATTTTAAACATTTGTCCAGTACAATTGGGCAAACGTATGAGAAAAATTTCAGTTTCATTCTGTTAGTTGATATTTAACAGCTCATCCTTCATTATTAAAAATATTTATACATTAATACACACAGTTTTCAAACCAATTTTATGGCAATACACATAATCAGAATATAATTTATTCAATGCCGACAGATATATATACATTTTCCTCAAATCAATTCATTCCAAGTATATCCTTTTCGAAGTCTGCACCCTTCTGGTTAATTTTTCATACTCCACTGAAGTAAATTTACAGTCAAAACTACAGTTCGACCGCCGCAGGCGCGAGCATGAGAGGAAACAAGCATGAGCCATTTGGACCAGTTTATTCATGAATCTAGTGGTTGGGATTTTTCAGTTCTTAATTGTTTCCCCACTTTATTTTCGCAACATTCTAAAAACACAGAATGAAAGCGAAAAGTACTTTTAAATAATCTATGCGGAAATATTGTTCATCCTTTGTAACTGTTTCATTATGCTGTGTTTAATTTCGAGTATTTACTTATATATTGGTAAACATAAGTGTTTTCGGAAGTCAGTTTTGCTACATAATGATAAATTGCAATAAATAATTATAATTGATAATAATTTTACGATACTAAATTGCAGATTATATTTAACAATTATTTAACACTTTTTATCATTGAGAATTATTTAACACATTTTTTTATCATTGAGCTTAATTATATGTATATTACAGGATAAAAAAAATTCTTTAGTTATAATAATTAGACAATAAAATAATCATAACATTTATTTTTAATTTTCGTGTTAAAATTATGCATTAACATCAATACTGGCTGCAAAATAAAAAAAATATTTTTGTAATAAACACAAATGTCACGTTGAATCATCTACGGTCTGGGAATACCCCGCTAAGGACCATTTTCTTCTACACTATATATACTACTGATAATACAGTTCCATGACCTTTAGTAACTTAAAAAAAAATTTTCCAAGTAAGCGAAGAAATATGCATTGTTCAAATAAAATTCATAAATTATGAAAAAATTAAACATGCTTGGTTTCCAGGTTTCAAAGCAATACGAATCGTAATTTCTGCTCATATGAACCTAAGATGCAAAAATCATGTGATGACAGTATCACTGGATCACACGGGGACTTTCCCTCCTTAGGTAGTAAATTCCCTCTTTCCGAACTGAAGAGAGGACTAAAGTTGTGTTTGCGAAGGTCTAAAAATATTTTTCTAGCTTTTAATTCCGTGTACCGTTAATAATATTTAAGACAAATAACATTAATAATTTTTATTAATTCTTGACAAAAACAGACGGTACTTTAATTTACTTAACAGCCTATAATCATTTTTAAAATGATTACGCTATGATACGCTAAAATGACGTTATGTTAAGAATATTTTCACCGAGAACAAACACTACAACTTTACGATGATACAGTGTTTGCCTGCTACTTGATCACTTCAGCATTCAAATCAAGTATTAACGCCCTCAAAAAGAAAAACCAGCAGACAGGAAGTGGCAGCTTTTCTTTCCTTAAGAGGAATTAACATTCCAGGCCAAAGGACATTTTCTTCTCACACACTAGATGGCGCTGATATACTTAGTAAATAACTGTTGCATTATTCCGTGACACGTTTACCAGCACACAACAGAATTCATAGCTAAGAATATATGTTAACCCCTATACACGTATAAAAAAACAATGGAATTTTTCCCTTAAACTAATATGAAATCTGAATAGATGTTTCAAATTCTTTATTATAATGCTTAAATACTTTATATAAATATTGGTTCAAAATGAAATATGGTAAGCTAAAAATTAACTTTTAGGCACATTTCAGCAATAATTATATTTAATTTAGAAATGTATTATTCTTAACATACAAAATGACTCATGCTGATAGTCGTACCCCCCCCAAAAAAGTTAGAACTCAATACAAGTTTACAACTATTTGCATAAAGTTTTAAAACTCTGCACGTAATGTTTATCAATACGGTGAAAATATTTCCCAAATATCCATTATAAATCTCATCGCGCACTGTGCATTCTAAATTAACGAATCAAAGACTATCTCATTAAAAAATTAAAAACTAATAGAAAAATTAGTTCAAAAATATAGCTTCGAAGCGTTAAGCCTAACAAAAAAAAAAAAAAAAAAAAAAAACTTTGAATTCTTTCTCAAGAGGATGGGGAAATTTCGACTCTTCAAATGGCAACACAACAGTAATTAAAATTAAGCAAAAATTCAATATCATATCGCTGGTTATCGTAGAAATTTCCAGACTCTCCGTACTTATGGAAAGAATTCGTTTTTAAATAGCAAAAGCTGACTGAAAGGGAATTTTGAATCTTCAATATGATGATACTACGCTCTCGCTCTGCGTTTATACTTTTTCCGTATTAAACAAACAAAACGAAGGGAATCTAATCACAAAGCAAACAACACAGCCCCCCTGCAGGGTAAATGAATGGAGACCGGAAATGGGGAACAGCTGATCTCATAGTTAAATAAATTTGGCAAGAGTTGGGGCAGATGCGAATACGTGAATTAAGCACTGGCAGAAAGAAGGGGAGAGGCACACAGAACGCCGTAGTCGGGAAGCAAAAAGTTGTTCTAAATATGTCCGTGTCGTGCAAAGAACGGAAGTACGGGAGAGGCCAAGACTTTCTTAGAAACGTTTTAAGCATAGGGCGATCGCATTTTATGCCTAAGGGAAGTGTTTCTGGCTTGGATTTCTTACATACGTTACAGAGAGGAAGATGCCATGTTACAGAACTTAATTCAGAATTACGGTATACTATTTTTTTATCTTTCATATCGATACACACGTATCTACATGCATTTAACAATAGTTACTTTAATTAAAGCCTTATACTTTATGCTCAAACCGGGACAATTACGGCAAAATACAACAAATAATTAAACTTACTAAGTGTCTACAGTTGAAAAAGGCTAAATAAAGAAATTAAAAACATCAGTATGATAAATTTCTTTTCAAACTTAACTAAACATACCTTAAGTAATATTTTCATTAGCGTGAACTTTCTTTAAAAAATTTCTTTTAATTTTTGACGGCATAAAAAATTTGCTGTAATTTAGTTCATTGCTAATTTAGAAGCTTGGTAGAATTTATGGTTAACTCAGCCATTCTACTTTCCTTAGACCGTATGATATTCATTATTTAGAACTCTTTCGAATGGTGCCGATGTGCCTAGTATGCTGAAAAGATGTATTATTTAAACAAGACCGAGAGATTATTATTATTCTGGAATGACTGAA